ATATATATATATATATATAAAATTGTATTTTTTTCCGGAATTTTCAGAAAAGTCCACTTTCATCTCTGATGAAATAACAATCGGACCATGAATCACGACACACAAGAAATGTGTCTCCAGTAAAATGAGCGACACTAGTATTGCAGTAAAAAGCAGCAATGACAAAGACATGACATATAGGTATCGAAAGTCTTTCTGTAATATGAGGGTACCATTGTGCAATAGTACCACTCAATGACAGCTGTGCAAAAATGTGGAGAGTCATCGAACAGAGATAGTGATAAGTGACCAGTTGTGTGGTACTTGCAATACTATGATGGTTGTGCAGATGATGCAGATAATTGTTGCACCATTTGAAGTGAGCAGGAGCAGTTGTTTAGTGCTTTGGAATATACATCAATGACAGTTGTTCAAGTATGTAAAGAGCTGAAGTTCCAAGGATTTGTGCGGTTATACTCTCCCACAAGGGTGTGCAAAATAGGCAAAACGTTTGCAAAGTGCCACTCTGGGATCCGATGGTATTTGAGTCAGCTGTTTAGGGAGGCGCTGGCAAGAATAAAGAACCTGTTTGAATGTATGCTGGTTTTCGTGTGCATGGTTCGATAGCGTCTACCTGAGGGGAGGAGCTGGAAGAGGTAGTGTGCAGGGTGTGGGGGGGGTTCCAGGAGAATTTTCCATGCCCTTTGTTTTGGTTCTTGCAATGTGCAGGTCCTCAAAAGTGGCTAGATGGTTACCATGATTTTTTTCTGTAGTCCTAACTGTACATTCCCAGGAACTTGAAGGTCTGAAAGTGAGGGGCAGTTTTGGGAATGGATGTTTCCTGAAGTCCGTGATCATCTCTGCAGTCTTGACCGTGTTCAGCTTCAGGCTGTGTTGACTGCACGAGAGTGCAAGTTGCTTCACCAGCTGTTGTTGCGCATAAACGTCGCCGACTTTGATGAGGCCGATGACTGTGTGGTGTCGTCTGCCAACTTCAGGAGTTTGACAGCTGGGTGTGTTGAGGTGCAGTTGTTCGTGTAGAGCAGGAGTGCCCATTATGTCGATCGCGATCGACAGGTAGCTCACGCACTCGTCTCAAGTCAATCGCGAGGGGTGGAGAGGAAAACAAAAAACAAAACTAACAAACATTTGTGCATGTTAGTCATATACTTTTTATGTCAATGCACACCGAACCCAAATCATCCTATCAGTCTCACTTTTACAAAAAGTATTTAAAAAAACAAAATAAAATGAATCAGATCACGTTATCGTACGGTGGCACATGAACTGCGTCACCAGAAGTTGTTAGCGCTCAGTCGTCTCCAATGGCAGCTTGCGATCAGAGCTGTTGCAATGTAGCCTTTATTATTATTATTATTATTTTATTATTATTATTATCAGCAAAGTGCATTTCGTGTACAATTCACCATTGGCACTCGCAAAGAATGGGGAATTATGGAGGGCCGAAAGAAGCATTTTAAAACTGTACGCGTAACAGGCTGCAAAAGTGAGTCGCATGCCTCCGCGCCAGGCCGTTGCTCATCATGACATGCGTGTGTATGTGCGTGTGTATGTGCGTGCATATGCGCGCGTGTGCGTTCATGGGTCGATCGTGGAAGGTTGGTTGATCAAAAAGTAGATCTTCGGTCAAAAAGGTTTGGGCACCTCTGGTGTGAGGGAGAAGAGCAGCGGAGAGAGGACGGGTACTTGGGGCCCCACTACTTATGGGGATAACATTCTCCCCCCAGCCTCACCTTTTGTTTCCTGCCTGTCAGGAAGCTGTGTATCCACTGGCAGATGGCAGGAGACACACTATGCTGGAGAGAATTGGAGGAGAGGAGTTTGTGGATGATAGTATGGAACACAGAGCTGAAGTCCACAAGCAGGATCCTCGCGTAGGTCCCTGGGCCAGGATCTAGTGCAGCCTCATGTGGACTGCGTCATTCACCGACCTGTTTGCCTGCTAGGCAAACCTCAGGTGGTCCAGGAGGAGTCCGGTGATGCTCTTTAGGTGGTCCAGCACGAGGTGTTAGGACTTCATGAACACACATGTCAGAGCAACAGGCCTGTAGTCGTTTGGTCCTGATGTTGAAGGTTTCTTGGTGACTGGGATGATGGTGGACTGCTTGAAGCAGGATCTCTTTGCAGTCGTTAAAAAGGAAACATTTTCCGACACACTTTGTAGATTTCACTACAACGATAAAACAATTTATGTTCTTTTCTTGTTTATTACTCAAAGATGATGTGATCGATGTGAATGTTGTCCCTTTTATAGGAACAGAACATCTGCCTGCACTGGGCAGCTTTATCGGGGTGTGCTGATGTCACTCAGGCTTTGCTGGATGCACAGTGTGACCGAAATGCTGTCAATATTCATGGGGACCTGCCAGTTCATGTGGCTGCCAGAGAAAACCACCTGGAATGTGTAATGTGAGTATACTGTTAGAGCTTCTTTTGGGTATGCATGACCAAAACTGCAATTGACTTTTAGGTTAAGCAGGAAATAAGTAGGCCTATTTGAGCATCAGTGTTGGGCATGTTACTTTAACTAAGTAGTTAGTTATAGTTTTTCTTCCATCCATCCATCCATTTTCTGATCCGCTTATCCTCCCAAGGGTCGCGGGGCATGCTGTAGCCTATGCTAGCCGTCTTCAGCCAGTTGGCGGGCTACCCCCTGAACCGGTTGCCAGCCAATCGCAGGGCACACATCAGTGATGGCAATTTTCTGCGGATACGCGGAAGTCCGCCGTTTTATTTCTTAAATTGATCATTTTTGTGAATCGTCTAAATCCGTTGAGAAAATTTTAGGGGGGGTCAGGTACCTTATCGTCGAGTTTTCACGAGCTCTCCCGATCAGTCTTTCCATCTTCCAATTGTAAACAGCCCTGCGATTGGACGTGTATGATGTCTTACATGTTGTGATTGGTCGCTATATCGGCAAATATAAATCACAACCAATCCGTGTTCGCCTTCCTAAACCCCTTTCTCGCGAATGCCGAATGTTATCGAGACTCGCGGCGAAGCTAAAGTGCGTCAGATAGATGCGGCTCTGAAAAACACGTTTC